ATATACAGTCTGCTATGAGACTTAGGATACTGTGTCATTCGTCCCTTACCTTAATAAACCCTCCACCACCCGTATATACAGTCTGCTATGAGACTTAGGATACTGTGTCATTCGTCCCTTACCTTAATAAACCCTCCACCACCCGTATATACAGTCTGCTATGAGACTTAGGATACTGTGTCATTCGTCCCTTACCTTAATAAACCCTCCACCACCCGTATATACAGTCTGCTATGAGACTTAGGATACTGTGTCATTCGTCCCTTACCTTAATAAACCCTCCACCACCCGTATATACAGTCTGCTATGAGACTTAGGATACTGTGTCATTCGTCCCTTACCTTAATAAACCCTCCACCACCCGTATATACAGTCTGCTATGAGACTTAGGATACTGTGTCATTCGTCCCTTACCTTAATAAACCCTCCACCACCCGTATATACAGTCTGCTATGAGACTTAGGATACTGTGTCATTCGTCCCTTACCTTAATAAACCCTCCACCACCCGTATATACAGTCTGCTATGAGACTTAGGATACTGTGTCATTCGTCCCTTACCTTAATAAACCCTCCACCACCCGTATATACAGTCTGCTATGAGACTTAGGATACTGTGTCATTCGTCCCTTACCTTAATAAACCCTCCACCACCCGTATATACAGTCTGCTATGAGACTTAGGATACTGTGTCATTCGTCCCTTACCTTAATAAACCCTCCACCACCCGTATATACAGTCTGCTATGAGACTTAGGATACTGTGTCATTCGTCCCTTACCTTGATAAACCCTCCAATACCCGTATATACAGTCTGCTATGAGACTTAGGATACTGTGTCATTCGGCCCCTACTTTAATAAACCCTCCACCACCCGTATATACAGTCTGCTATGAGATTTAGGATACTGTGTCATTCGTCCCTTACCTTGAAAAACCCCCCAATCCCCGTATATACAGTCTGCTATGAGACTTAGGATACTACAGTCTGCTATGAGATTTAGGATACTGTGTCATTCGTCCCTTACCTTAATAAACCCTCCTCCACCCGTATATACAGTCTGCTATGAGACCTAGGATACACTGTCATTCGTCCCTTACCTTAATAAACCCTCCACCACCGGTATATACAGTCTGCTATGAGACTTAGGCTACTGTGTCATTCGTCCCTTACCTTAATAAACCCTCCCCCACCCGTATATACAGTCTGCTATGAGACTTAGAATACTGTGTCATTCGTCCCTTACCTTAAAAAACCCTCCTCCTCCCGTATATACAGTCTGCTATGAGACTTAGGATACTACAGTCTGCTATGAGATTTAGGATACTGTGTCCTTCGTCCCTTACCTTGATAAACCCTCCAATACCCGTATATACAGTCTGCTATGAGACTTAGGATTGTGTGGGAACCTAAAGCTGTACAACACACAACGGTAGAGGGCTTTGTTGGCAGTCTGCTATGAGACTTAGGATACTGTGTCATTCGGCCCCTACTTTAATAAACCCTCCACCACCCGTATATACAGTCTGTTATGAGACTTAGGATACTGTGTCATTCGTCCCTCACCTTAATAACCCCTCCACCACCCGTATATACAGTCTGCTATGAGATTTAGGATACGTATATACAGTCTGCTATGAGACTTAGGATACTGTGTCAATCGTCCCTTACCTTAATAAACCCTCCACCACCCGTATATACAGCCTGCTATGAGACTTAGAATACTGTGTCATTCGTCCCTTACCTTAAAAAACCCTCCTCCTCCCGTATATACAGTCTGCTATGAGACTTAGGATACACTGTCATTCGTCCCTTAGCTTAATAAACCCTCCACCACCCGTATATACAGTCTGCTTTGAGACTTGGGATACTGTGTCATTCGTCCCTTACCTTAATAAACCCTCAACCACCCGTATATACAGTCTGCTATGAGATTTAGGATACTGTGTCCTTCGTCCCTTACCTTGATAAACCCTCCAATACCCGTATATACAGTCTGCTATGAGACTTAGGATTGTGTGGGAACCTAAAGCTGTACAACACACAACGGTAGAGGGCTTTGTTGGCAGTCTGCTATGAGACTTAGGATACTGTGTCATTCGTCCCTACCTTAATAAACCCTCCACCACCCGTATATACAGTCTGCTATTAGATTTAGGATACTGTGTCATTCGTCCCTTACCTTGAAAAACCCCCCAATCCCCGTATATACAGTCTGCTATGAGACTTAGGATTGTGTGGGAACCTAAAGCTGTACAACACACAACGGTAGAGGGCTTTGCTGGAACCTAGAGCTGTACAACACACTACGGTAGCGGATTGTGTGGGACTTACCTTAATAAACCCTCCACCACCCGTATATACAGTCTGCTATGAGACTTAGGATTGTGTGGGAACCTAAAGCTGTACAACACACAACGGTAGAGGGCTTTGTTGGAACCTAGAGCTGTACAACACACTACGGTAGCGGATTGTGTGGGAACCTAGAGCTGTACAACACACTACGGTAGAGGATTGTGTTGGAACCTAGAGCTGTACAACACTACGGTAGAGGATTGTGTGCAATTGGTCTAGAAAACCCATTTGATGGGGCAGTTGGTCTAGAAAACCCATTTGATGGGGCAGTTGACCTAGAAACCCCAATAGATGGGACAGTTGACCTAGAAACCCCACTAGATGGGACAGTTGACCTAGAAACCCCACTAGATGGGGCAGTTGACCTAGAAACCCCACTAGATGGGGCAGTTGACCTAGAAACCCCACTAGATGGGACAGTTGACCTAGAAACCCCACTAGATGGGACAGTTGACCTAGAAACCCCACTAGATGGGACAGTTGACCTAGAAACCCCACTAGATGGGACAGTTGACCTAGAAACCCCACTAGATGGGACAGTTGACCTAGAAACCCCACTAGATGGGACAGTTGACCTAGAAACCCCACTAGATGGGACAGTTGACCTAGAAACCCCACTAGATGGGACAGTTGACCTAGAAACCCCACTAGATAGGACAGTTGACCTAGAAACCCCACTAGATGGGACAGTTGACCTAGAAACCCCACTAGATAGGACAGTTGACCTAGAAACCCCACTAGATGGGACAGTTGACCAAGAAACCCCACTAGATAGGACAGTTGACCTAGAAACCCCACTAGATAGGACAGTTGACCAAGAAACCCCACTAGATGGGACAGTTGACCTAGAAACCCCACTAGATAGGACAGTTGACCTAGAAACCCTACTAGATATGACAGTTGACCTAGAAACCCCACTAGATAGGACAGTTGACCTAGAAACCCCACTAGATAGGACAGTTGACCTAGAAACCCCACTAGATGGGGCAATTGACCAAGAAACCCAACTAGATGGGACAGTTGACCTAGAAACCCCACTGCCACCCGACCATCCCGAATCGATTTTTAAATATAGCTTGTTCACAACACTTGCAAGAATTCCAAGAATATTTCAATAAAGGCTTTGAGTTACAGCTATTCTTTGTCTAAATCCGGGTTTAGTGACAGGTATACCATTCACTGAGGCAGGGTAAGTGTCTGATGGTAACCTGTTCTTACCAGGAAGTTACGGGTTTAAGTCTGTAGTACATATACAGCTTCATCTCAAGTTTTCAAATCCGTTTTATAGCTACCTAATATGGCTGGTTTGTAAAATAATCCTAAATAAGGGCGATCTTTAATAAACCTACAAAGTTCCTAGTTTGCTTTCATTTTAAAGAAAGTGTGCTGATATCACCGAATCTCGCGAGATTTGGCTTTATATATCGTAAATCTGATAAAGTGTAACGCACGTGAGCTCAGACCTTTAAAACTCTTAGCACACCATTGGTTGACAATACTGCACAAATTAATGACAATGTTTATTCTTACAGTACAAGGGGCCTGCCTCTATCTTTAGAAATTTAAAAATCCAATATACAGTGTTAATATTATATAATTAATGCGATGTTTGTTATTCCTGTACACAGCTAGGGGTCTCCATCTATCTACAGAACTTTAAAAATGCAATGGAGTTTTAAACTTGTACAATCCATGACAATATTTTCGCTTGCAGTACATAGGGTCCTGACTCTATCCACAGAACTTTAAAACTCTAACATGTAAGTATAAACACGGTAGTTTACAGCCAGCACAAGTATCCTATTTCCGGTATTGTTGTACATGTACAATTCCCGCTTGTTCAAGTGCCTATGAATAGCTACTGATCCTACATTCACTTTCAGTCGGAGTTAAATAAAAGCTTGATTGAATTAATTGTTATTTCATCCAGGCAATGTAAGGAGAGAAAGTCTCATATTTAACCAAAATCATGTTGCATTTTATGACTTCAGAAATCTTTCAACAGATTGCTGAATGTGCTGGGCCCTCTACATAAACTGTTTGCTTTATTATAAAATTCACAAATACTTATAACATTTTTTTAAACATTTTGAAAAATATCTTGTAACCTTGTATTCAAAATGTTCGTTTGTTTATTTATTGATTTTTATGATTATTACAATTAGAAAGCATTTTTTATTAATGTTTTCTCATAAATCTAATCTGCAGCTGCACTAGGACTAAAATGGTGTTTGTCGTGTAACGATCTCCTTTTACTCCAATTTATTTTCGTGGGACTAAACTGAACTTACGAAACCAACGAGAACTGGAGCGTGACTATCCCTGATCTACCGGGAGTTAGCCTAGTCTCATTCAACCAGACTCTTGTTGCCTGCGCAAGCTACGCCGAATAGAGAATGACAAGTGAGCAAGCGTCTGGTTGAACAAGACTATGAGTTAGCCATGCACAGTTATTCATATATAGCTTTAATTTGCTCAACAATTAGTTGAAAACATCAAAGTTTACATTCAGAAAATACGGTTTTGGGGTTTGAAATTAGAATACAAACCGAGTTGGTCATAAAATTGATAATGTAGAATTGTACATCTTCATTACTGATGTCAGGCCCCTGTGTGGGCTTTCTGTTTACATGGGAGGGCGACTTACCTTGTTCTGTAGTTTTCTTGTCTTTCTTGAACAAGTTGGTGATTGGGTAACAGCAGGACATGTTACTTGTTGTTCTCTGATTCCTTCTGTTACTACAGTGTTATCAAATTAGAAAACAAATCCTTTTCTCAGTGGTCACATCGACTTAATCAGCAGACTCCCCAGGAACATCTAATAGCCACTCACTGTCTTACGTGATAGCGTGTATGATAACCGTGGGGAACGTTTACCGTCAATTAGAACATCTCATAGTCAGATAATTCCTGATATGTAATGACGAATCGCTGAAATCAAGTGACACATGTTAAACTAGTAACTATAAGGGTTTTACATCGGCCGGAAAGTCTGATGTTGCCACGGGGGCTGACATCCTGTACTTCTACTGTCTATTTACTTCCGGGATCTTTGGAACATTGGTACACATACTCCTACATTCATTTATTGGTATGTATACGCGTGTATGTGTGTATAGACATTCGTATCAATCATGCTTCTGTTAATGTGTAATCGATCGACACTTATACATGTGACACATACCTAAGTATATACACATAGGTAGCTCACAGGTAACACACAGGTAAAACACAGGTAACACAGACGGCCCAGGCCAGGGAAGTAGTCAGCAAAGAACACGTAATTATAGATATACACTTTATGCATTCAGCGTAATATATATGGGCCCCATCCTACACCCTGTCTTTAAGGTAATAGGATTGTGTCGCCATTTCTCAGTAGAATTTCTTCAAATTTTCTAGTAATATTGCTTTGAAGTAAAGAAAAATTTCTGCCACAAAAAAAATATAGGTTGTCAGAATTGTAAGGATTTTAAATGGAAATCTATGTAAAAATGAGCGAATTTTGAAAAAAAAATGAAACACACAATGTTTTGCAAAATAATGTCGATCAAAATGATACTGACATAGATTAGTATTGCATTAATGTATATCAATTTCAAAAACGCTGAAATTGTGTAAAATTAATTATCATTAAACGATTAAAAAATGACATTTTATAATAAAACCATATACACATAGTAATTCCAGGTAAGAGTTATCGTTCTTGAAAAACTTCATAGTAGTGAAATAGGTAGCCGGTTTCCTGAAGTACAGAAAAATTGACACATGTGACTCATTGATAAAAAAAACACCCACTGAATTAATGCCTGGATTGCTTTGAAATACTTTAATATTGGGAGAACACACTGTTTTGTCAATAATAAACATACAATATTCATCAGTTTAATATTAAACATTAGAATTTGCGGAAATTGTGATACTGTCTCCCTACATTGGATTTTCAACAAGGGATGTACTTCCTGTTTCCGTTTATCAATACACTCCAATGACCATAAATTACCTTAGCTGTTAATAGGACGTTAAACAAAATAAAACCAGACCCCGTCCTACAAAGGATACACACTGCAATTCATATATAAAATCATGTTCAATGTGATCACAGACATGTTCAATGTCAGCACAGACATGTTCAATGTGAGCACGGACATGTTCAATGTGATCACAGACATGTTCAATGTGATCACGGACATGTTCAATGTGATCAGGGACATGTACAATGTGATCACAGACATGTTCAATGAAATCGCGGACATGTTCAATGTGATCACAGACATGTTTCATGTGATCACAGACATGTACAATTTGATCACGGACATGTTCAATGTGATCACAGACATGTTCAATGTGATCACGGACATGTACAATGTGATCACAGACATGTTCAATGTAATCGCGGACATGTTCAATGTGATCACAGACATGTTTCATGTGATCACAGACATGTACAATGTGATCACGGACATGTTCAATGTGATCACAGACATGTTCAATGTGATCACAGACATGATCAATGTGATCACAGACATGTTCAATGTGATCACGGACATGTACAATGTGATCACAGACATGTTCAATGTAATCGCGGACATGTTCAATGTGATCACAGACATGTTTCATGTGATCACAGACATGTACAATGTGATCACGGACATGTTCAATGTGATCACAGACATGTTCAATGTGATCACAGACATGATCAATGTGATCACAGACATGTTCAATGTGATCACGGACATGTACAATGTGATCACAGACATGTTCAATGTAATCGCGGACATGTTCAATGTGATCACAGACATGTTTCATGTGATCACAGACATGTACAATGTGATCACGGACATGTTCAATGTGATCACAGACATGTTCAATGTGATCACAGACATGATCAATGTGATCACAGACATGTTCAATGTGATCACGGACATGTACAATGTGATCACAGACATGTTCAATGTAATCGCGGACATGTTCAATGTGATCACAGACATGTTTCATGTGATCACAGACATGTACAATGTGATCACGGACATGTTCAATGTGATCACAGACATGTTCAATGTGATCACAGACATGATCAATGTGATCACAGACATGTTCAATGTGATCACGGACATGTACAATGTGATCACAGACATGTTCAATGTAATCGCGGACATGTTCAATGTGATCACAGACATGTTTCATGTGATCACAGACATGTACAATGTGATCACGGACATGTTCAATGTGATCACAGACATGTTCAATGTGATCACAGACATGATCAATGTGATCACAGACATGTTCAATGTGATCACGGACATGTACAATGTGATCACAGACATGTTCAATGTAATCGCGGACATGTTCAATGTGATCACAGACATGTTTCATGTGATCACAGACATGTACAATGTGATCACGGACATGTTCAATGTGATCACAGACATGTTCAATGTGATCACAGACATGTACAATGTGATCACAGACATGTTCAATGTGATCACGGACATGTACAATGTGATCACAGACATGTTCAATGTAATCGCGGACATGTTCAATGTGATCACAGACATGTTTCATGTGATCACAGACATGTACAATGTGATCACGGACATGTTCAATGTGATCACAGACATGTTCAATGTGATCACAGACATGATCAATGTGATCACAGACATGTACAATGTGATCACAGACATGTACAATGTGATCACAGACATGTTCAATGTAATCGCGGACATGTTCAATGTGATCACAGACATGTTTCATGTGATCACAGACATGTACAATGTGATCACGGACATGTACAATGTGATAACAGACATGTTCAATGTGATCACAGACATGATCAATGTGATCACGGACATGTTCAATGTGATCACGGACAGGTACAATGTGATCACGGACATGAATGGTAATATGTTGCGAATATATGGCTTTTCATACCCTTGCTTATTGGTTAAAATTGACGCGCCAAGTATCTTACTATTTATATAATTATACTTATGATTAAAATTTTTTGATTTAAACATATTTTATTTGCAAATATACAAATGGGATCAGACACAAGTTTAAAAACTTATAATCCGTCTTTTCCCATAAAACATACATGATGAACTATACATATGACCGCAAATTACTAAGGAAATACAATGATGATGAAAAATGTCAAAACTTACCTATAAGATAAAATTTACAATTTACATATCGTATTATATAGTGACTGTACCCGCATGTCTATATAGCATAAAATGCATGTCCATATAACAATAGAGTGTTACATATATATAATTCATGGTCATGTATATAATAGAGTGTTATATATATAATACATGTCCATATAACAATAGAGTGTTATATATATAATGCATGTTTAAATGCTTACTGATCGATTGATGACACGATAGATTTATAATGCCTAAAAAGGTTCAATTTATGATATAGTGAGTATAAGTGATGCAAATGTGTACATGCATTTAATAATAGAATAACCAGCATAATAGTTCATTCATATCTTTATTCCTCCAAGTTTGAAGAGTTACAAATGACATATATATGGGTTACAAAAATAGAAACACAAAGGACATAAGTATAAGGTAAAATGAAAAAGAAAAATACGTGGAATCAAACAAAAAAAGTTACATGATTACACAATATATGAGGTACACAACGAAAATGTGACATACACAGGACTATATCAAACAGCAAGGGAACATGTATGTAAAGACAGGACTGTCAAATTGCCAGGATGAACCATATATAATACGAATGCATATGGTTTACATGTCTGGCAGACTATCGTCGTTAATTAAACGTAAGAAGGGATATTCTTTCGGCATAAATACAACAATCTCTTGCAAAAGATGCGAAAAGGCTGTCCTCATTAACAAATATGTCTTTCATGGCAGCAGATGGACTGCCGAGGATCGTCGCAATTTGCACCTCCCTACATGTGTTAGCAAGAACAACATACACATGAACCGGATAATCGTTGACTATCTTGGTGAAAAGTTCATCACGTAGAGTTAGCAATGTGGCACTACGGCAGTCTAATATACAATGCGCAACTGCATCTTCTGCAAAGATATTGCACTGGGCGCATGATAGTTCACTATTAGGTGGAATACCTCATAGCTTTGCAACGTTTTTACACGTTGTGTTGATATTAGGGAAACATTTAGATAGGTACCATAGTGGCGAAGGGCTGATCTCACAATGCAGGTGTTTAAATCTTAAGAACTCATCACAAGCATTGAGATGTTCACTCCATTGCGAGGAGTACTTGCCTAATACGACACCTTTTGTGAAGTGTTTCCAATAGTTTTTAACCGGGACAAACCCAGTTTGCAAAAATTGGTACAAAAAGTATTGTAGATCATATTTGTGAAGTATGTTCCAGATGTCTAAAACAACACTTTTCCGTTACAACAAATGCCAAAATATACATGAAAAAGTCGCAGTAAGAACAATCTATTTGCTGTAAAACGTGCATCTGTTCTGCATAAAGCAGAGAAGAATCGAAGTTTCGATAACTCAAGGTTTAGACGTATGGACGTAAGTCCAAGCATACTAAGAACAATATCTGATCTAGTGCGCCGCGGAAAACCTTGAATGAGTCCAGTACCAAATAAGTTGCAGTTAAGCAAGGCAAAACATTGACCACGTAGCTTGTGAACAATGTCATTGACATCTGGACAGCCTGGTTTGAACTTGTTTAAAAAAGATACCGACATGTTTATAATGTATAGATTCAGGGAGTGCTTCGTTGCCGAGACTCCATCTGTGTGTTATCTTTGAAAAGACACTTTTGCTTTCATTAAAAACAATTACGGTAGATTTTGATGCGTTGTAACTAAGTCGCCACTTACCACTGTAACTGTAGCAGATGTCCATGAGACAGTCCAAGTCATGTTTACAAAGAGACAGAAGGGTAATATCATCTGCTTGAGTTGGACAAGTAACATTTACACCATGTATAAGTAAAGAGTACTGTGAAGCACATAACTCATCCAGTAAATCATTAATAAAAACTGTATACAGCCAGGGTGAAATAATGCTTCCCTGACGCGAACCTTGGCATATCTTAAACCAGTTAGAAATAAAACCTTGGTGCAATC